TTCCATTTTCTGTTCCATTACCCTTCTTGCTATATTACCAACCCTAAACCCTAAACCCTTTACTCCCAGCAGAAGATGCAGGCGCGATCCGATCGGCTTGCCTTTCAGAGACTGGCCGCTCGGCGGCTGAAGTGTTTTGACAGTTTTTGTCTATTGGGGTCGAGGATTCAAGCCCGTGCCTTCAAGAGTACCGTAGACTTCCGGCTAAGGTTGAGGGTAAGCTTGGCTGGCTGTGGTTCGGTGGTTCAGAGTTGGGGTCGAAGGCTTCTGCAAGTTCGCTTGGTGTGTTTGGGTGTCTCTGGTTCCAGGTTTCCAGTGGAGGCGGGAGAAGCCGAGCATCCTCGTCAAGTGGCATAGTGTGCAAAGATTAGAGCAGGAGTTTCTCAACATTCCTGGTCCCTTGGCCTCGCCAGGCTTTGACTGTCTGATCCAATATCGCCACTTGCACCGTTAGGCTCAAAAACCCGATCCCAAGCTCCAAGCTTCGTCCTTCCGCTGTTGACTTGACCTCCCCAGGCAGCAGACACAAGGATTGGAGGGGCCCTAAGCCCTAAACTAAAGGCAATGTCAAAAAGTCCATGGGAGGACCTCTTCCTGAATCTGACCGAGTTTGGCCATGCATTCGAGGAAGCCATATCTGAGCAGCTTTGAGGATATGGATGATGCACACTTTAGGGTTTATAGTCCCCCTTAAGTAGATAGAATATGGCTTTGGGTACAAAACAATAAGATCCCCATATACCCCATATACTATCTACTTAAGGGGGACTATAGGGTGTAGGGTTTAGGCCCTTAGGCCCTGGCGTCTATAAGTAGCATCTGCTTTGGCGTCATAAGATGTAGACTTTGGTGGACCCTAACGTTCGTCAGTAGCATTTACTTTGCCTCAAAGTCGATAGATCGTACTTGCTTTGGGCCCCAAAGTCCATAGTCAGCATCTATTTTACGCAGGCTACTTGGGGCCCTGAAGTTTCTTCATCCAGTGGAACCCCAGGGTTCAGAATGGGGCTGTCAAAAAGCATGGTCCTCGCCGGGGGTGAGAACATGTATTCTACTCAAGAAAGGAGACTCTGGCAAAGCCTGATTGGACTCGGCTTGCTGGTTGGTAGTGGAAGAGGATCCTGTTTGACCTCCGCTAACGGTGTAGGGTCCGCGTTCTTTTCCATTGCCTCATTCTCGCTCACAGCTATAGACTTGACCCGGACTTGACCCTACACCACATGAAGGCCTGGTTTCCATCGCATTTTCCAGTGGGCTTTCCATTGAAATCCACCCGTAACCATGCGACCGGGATCTCGAACTCCGCCAAGCTGCGCACAAGACTCTGAAAGTCCCAAGATGACGCTGAATCTGAATTTAGTTTAGGGTTTCTGGGGTTGTCGTGGAATTAGGGCTCAGGATTTGGGATTTCGGGTTTCGGAGAACCCCAGAATGGGGAATCAACATGGAAACTGCGGTGACTTCATATGGCATTTGATGTAAAAGACTGAATACTTACCAATATTTTGTGGTCCTAGATTCCTTGTATGAACATGGTATCGGGTCAACCTCAAGATAGTCTTAGTAGCTCTTTAGGCTTCTACACTTGGTGTGAAGCCCGGCTTGAGATATCTGGCCGTGTCCGAAAGTCGAGGTCACCTGATGTCCCCCGCAAAGTCTCCAAAAGAAAGGCCAGGCAGAAATGGTAAGTGGAAGGCATCCTTTGTCGAAGGACTTCACGTGAAGACCAGAAGCAAGACCCTACACCTTCTCCGTCCCAGCTTACTGATTGTTGGCACGCACTGGAGGAATGGACTCCTATGATAGCCTGTATATAATCCCCAATGATCGAATATTTTGGTTTCCAAGATCTTTTCCTATCCTTCCTTCCCTACTAGCAGCCTAAACTTTATACATCCCTCAAAATCCTACTTTCCATTGAGCTATCCATGCGAATGTCCATTCCCTACAAACAACCAGCAAGTAAAGGCAGAAGCAGCGCTTGGGCATGCTGATGGAGGCAAGTCGGAGGATTTGGCTGGGGAAGGGATAGGGCTTACTTCAAGGGGGGGATGGTGGTTTTGGGCATCTAGGGCTACTGATGTTCGGGCATGTGTAGACTCTCTCTCTCTCTCTTTCCTGGATGCCTTCCGAGTTCAACAGCCCCGGAAATCTTTTCTCTCTGCTCCTTCCAACCATCAGGCTCAAAAAGGGAAGGCCTGCATGACATGTAATATATGTTTTGCCCCCAAAGGAGTAGGTCTCCATAGCGACTGGACAGAGACGGAGTCTTAATACTGTTGCGGAAGGGAGATTTGGAGAAAAGAACAAGACTGGCAGGTCTAAGAGCAACTCCCTCGTTTGACTTTTCCTTTGCCAGGCTAGCCGCACAACGGCGGGCGTGCCTGAAGTGGAAAAGGTGCGAAGACAGGGCGCCTTCTTGCATCGAACAGCAGTACCGGGCAGGGTTCCTACATCAGGAGCCCAAACTCTGTGTTTTTCTGGTGGTGCTGATCTTCCGAGCAAAGTACTGCTGCGGTGATGGGCTGTCGCTCAAGATGTACTGGAACGAGCATCATGGAACACTTCTTGCCTGGTCAGCAAACAGCTAGTACACTAAATTCCCATTGAGTTAGACAACGCAGAGCTTCTTCACACAGTTCGCACACTAGAGTCTGGACCAGCAGGAACATGAGTGTAGAATTGCACACGCTCTGCAATGTTTGAATCTCGTCTGGCTGATGCGCAGTGCGCGGCCTGAGCCCCGGCAAATTTGCCACTTTTTGCATGACTATAAGGGGGTCTTAAACTGTCCGACGCTTTAAAACTGGAACGTGAGCAGCCCGAAGTCACGCGAGCCCATCATGTACCCCCTTTTTCAGTCCCTCCTTGATCATGTAAGATGAGACATTGATGACTGATAGCGGGCATACAATTCTTGTTGCTCAGATAGCACCCCACACATATCAACACATCATGATTTCTATGCATAGCATGTAAGTTGCATTTCATGTGCGATGATGTGATTGCGCTCATACTCAAGGTTATATTCCCGCCTAGCGCGGGGTGCTACACGCCAACATGGCCGGACTTTCCCCTTAGTGCAACTCCAAGGACCTTCCACCGGTCACAGATGGCAAGCAGAGCTTGAACTCCGCAATCCATGCTTTTGGATACTACGATATGTACCAAGCTTGGGCACGCTTGCCCAGGTCACCTCGCGTGCAGAGACGCGCGGCGCGTTCACAAGCCGATGGTGTCGAGCGACTGAAGCAGGCAGGCATTTTCAGAAGGTAAAGCCGGCAAAGCCAATTGCCAGTACGCTCCCACGGTGCTGCTGTTCGATCATCACCGCGTGCTTGCTAAGACCGCAGGGAATTGAAGTGTGTCATATGGCATGTGCCTTAGATTCCAGGCTGGAAATGTCATGCATTCATAGTTTTCGGCCAGGTAGCCTGATAACGAAACGAAACAGCTTGCCGGCAGTTGGCTACTACCCGGTCACTACCCAGGACTCTGAATTCTAGACGCGCCCTAGCATGTCTTCAAGTGAGATGTAAGCGAGCGTGACTTGTGCCATAGCGAAAAAGAGAGACCTTCGATTCGAATGCTCCTCCTCAGACATGTCGTCTGATGCAGGCGCGAAGCATCCGCCAGCCGTGGCCGCATGACTTTGTTGAGCATGCAGGTGTGCCAAAGAGCAGTATCCACTCTTGCGATAGGTATTCAGCTGCAGTTCCGTGTAACCTGAACTTGTCGCTCGTTAGTGTAATTTCCTTCATTTCCTTCTCAATACGAAAGAGTAGTTTGATGGGGAAGATGAGCTCAGGCTCCGAGACCTGGTGGAGGGGATGTGGATTGCGAGATGGACTTTCCTGGGTCAGCATCCCAGCGCAGCCCCTGCCCTTCTCAAAATCGCTAGAAGTTGAGGCTTTGACTCTTCAGCTTTTGAAGTTTCCTTGCGGGTCCTGTAGTGTAGAGCCAAGATTCTATGCAGGATGCATAAGTGGACCTCAATTTTGAGACAGCCACACTCGCAAGGAATCGCCACTATTCTGGTGGCCCTGGGTGTGTGGCTTGCTCAACATGAGGCCCCGCTCTTCGGAGTTCCCTTCTGCTCGCTTAGACTTACGTTGACTGGGCTGACAAGCTTTGCCGCGGCAGCTATGGGTAGATCAGGGCTGAGTGCACAACTACTTAAGGACTGTCCCTTCGCAGCGGCTGATCCTAACGAATTGCTCAAGTGCGACAAATCCTGCACGGTGCATGTCACGCCCGTTTCACAAGGCACTGCACAAGTCTGATAAGCTCGATGCTGCAGCTGTTTAGGCCAAGGATATGTCGTAGAAGACCTTCCAGAGCATCGGCCCAGTTGCTCTCGGAGTGTGACGGCCTGCGCATGATGGCAGCCGGCAGCATGCGCTTCAGCCGAGCCGATGACAGCGAATCAAGGCAATCAACCGGCAGCCAAGACCCGTCAGAGGCACCAGTGGAGGTACCCCTCTCCGTGCTACACAAGCGCTCCTCTCCGCTGAACCTCAGCCATCAGCACTTGGCACATGGGCTGGACAGCGCCAGGCGGCTGGATGCCCTAGAGTGGTTGGTCCAAGCATTCGATGCCTTGGATTTGGCTGATGAGCAGCTCTTCTCCGCCATTGGTCTTCTCGATCGCTTCGCAGCAGCTGCTACGGCGCCCATCGCCGCTGGCCCCGGGGCCTTTGCCTTGGTCCTGGCCGTCATGTTAGTGGCGCTGAAGGTTTCCGGCTTCAAGAAAGACCTTGAGAGGGCCCGGCGCCTGGTCGTGGAAGTCTCAGGCTCCTCGCGGCCATGGAATGCTGTGCGCAAGGCGGAGCTTAGCATCCTTCGGCGCCTGGGCTTCCGGGCCTGTACGCCCACAGCCTTTGACCTTCTAGACCGACTTCTCGCAGAGCTTTTCCCCTCTGTGGTATTCCGTTTGGGCTCCCCAGGTGGTGCTCCAGGAAGCACCGATGTAGCTGCTGCAGGCGGCACGGACCTCTGGGACCATGACACCAAGCTTCGGTGCAGCAACCTGGCGAGGTTCCTACTGGAGATGTGCATCGTCTATGATCCGGAGGCTTTGTACCTTGCCTGTCAAGTACAAAAGGTCTTAATTAACATTGTTTGGGACCATTAGGCCCCATCAAACGGCTAAGGGAGCTGCACCTAAGGTACGGCTCAGGGCGTCCACCCTTAGTGAGCGCCATCGCCGCCTTGCTCCTCAGCCTGCTAGCTCATGCAGCTCCCAGACGCTTGCTCAGCTGACAGAAATCTCTGATATTTTGGGGTTGGCCTTTGCTTACGATTCCTCTGCATGTGCGCAAAGCCTGTCATCCCAGCTGCAAGCACGGTATAAAGGGACCCGCTACATTTCAGCAGCCCCTGCAACTTTCTCCCCTGGCTCTGGGAGAGACAAGGACACTACGCACAAATGCTGGGCGAAGCTGTCCATCTCACGGAGCAGCTTAGACGGCGTTGGGTTGTTATTACTACTATTTGTGCTACTGTTACCATAACATCATGGCCCAGTTCTTGTAGCCCAAGTTTCTATGACACGGCATCAGTGTCGGAGGCAAGCAACTGGAGACCTGTGAGTTTGAGAACAGCCCACATGCGGGCAGAGACCTGAAACATCTCAATGCTAGCAGGTCGAATCGAAGTACCCTGATGGAGATCGCAGAAGCCATGCGCAATCGTTGGGCGAAGGCCTATCAACACACCCGGGGTCATATCGGTAGCATATAAGGGCTTATTGCATTGGCCTAGCTAAGTAGGGACAGACGGGGAGTATGTGAAGGTCACCCAAGTTCCCAACTACGGAATGAAAATGTTGTTTAGGGATGGTGGGCCGAGTTGATGAACTAGCCCTTGTAAAGTTAGCACCCAACGCACACTTTCCCCTACAGTCCATATAATTAAGCTCTCATGGGCGGCTTGAGTTCCACGGCTTGAAAATTAAAGCAGATGTAGCTGCATTACGCTTAGGATGCCGGAAGCTTCCATGTTACCTTGCATCGGATTCCACCCTGTCTCTTCATCTGCTTGGGACCAGTTCAGGTAGTTCTAGTGGCGTCCTATTTTTTTCTGTTCGCTTGCGGTGACTTGGCGGCAGTCTACAGAGGGCCGCTCCACAGAAGACTCTTCTGCTACATCAAAGGGTTTAGGGTTTAGGGTGCGCTTACGTTCGCTTCCGATGTTTCAATGTCTTGACCTCATAGACAGCACCTGCATGCAGGAGGAACAGAAGAATTCCGTGACTTGGCAACGCAGTGGGTACGGTAGGGGCTTAAATAAGTACCAATAATATGGCTCTAGATTCCTTGTATACATATCGTTTAGGGTGCTGCAAAAGGACCTCAACATCATGTTGGTAGTTTAACTGATGAAGCAGGGGGCGGCCACCAAAGGTGAAGTTGAATTGGCCTGGCGCAGGCTGAGATGGGCCTTCCAAAAGGCGTCCTCAGGACCCAGCCCCCCCAACTAGTTCAGAAGAAGCAATCGGAAAAGAAAAAAAAACATACTAAAACTAGGAAAAGCAGGTCGCCGCACGTGGTGTAGTTGTTGCGCATGTTGTGCAATGTTCTGTGCATCAGCAGGTTTTCCACATTTTCATGCTTGATTAGAGCTCTCATGCCGAAGCCCGGCCCGCAGCCCAAATTGTAAGGTCTCAGCCCAACATGCAACCGCGTCATCAGTAACACGGACGTTTATGTAGGGCCAGGTCACTTTTTCAGAACCAACTAGCACCCCCAAATATTGTAACCAGGATTTTGGAGAAATCAACCGTCAACCCTAGCGCGCATCTGCCTTGCACTGCCTCAAACCGTGTAGATTCAAGAATGGGCCCACATGATTGCTTCTCAAAAGTCACTTGCATACAATTCGTTAGGCGGCAACTAGAATCCCTCTATATATACTCCATTATATACCCTTATATAACCCCAATATATACCCTATTATGAGATAGTAGTTTCCATCTTCTTTTCCATTATCCCTATATACCCCTATATTCTAATCCTAAAGCCTAAACTCCTAGGAGGTGCCCAGCATGAGAGACCTCCGCAAAACAAGGCGAGTAACAGCTCAGTGGTCTTGGAGAAATGGCGTCGGCGCTCCGGTGTCTTCGACGTGCCGGAGCCTGAGCCGTAGAAATCACAGCCATAATGATAACTGCCAGGACCTTCCTTGTACCCTTAATTGGGGCGATATGGTCCCTAATAGTGGGTACTTAGGCCCTAATAGAGGGTAGGAGGAGGGTCTAGGTGGGTTATGGCCCTGGATTCGTTGTATAAGTATATCATAGGGTATCTCAACCTGAGCTCAACTTGCTACTGGTCCTTCTTTAAGCCCCCATGGTAAACGGGTTCAGGGTTTGGGGGCCCTAAACCATCAATCGCTCACGTTTAAGGATCTAGGCATGCGCTTCACACCTGCACACTGTGCAATGTGAGGGCTCTCCATGGACGGCCAATGGTGCACAAAACGGGCTTAGGATTCCTCCAGCAATCATATTCGTAAGTGGGTAATGCTGTGGGCTTTCCAAGGGGCTTCAAGGAGCCTTGGGAATGCCTAAGCGGAAAGCGAACCTACCTTATGCGTGGCCATTCTGGGGACAGCTCTTTTGAACAACCACCACGTGCAATTTGTGCCTGCGGTAGAAACGTGGCTTCGTGTGTATACGAAGTAGGACTTCTTATTGTGCTTTTTTGTGAGTGTATAATCCTTATGAACATTAGTGAGCGAATGTAGCTCGGTTTGGGGGGCCATGAATTAAAAGCCTAGTGCTTTTTAGTAGTTCTGCCACACGCAGATCTTTATGGGGCTACAAAGCTTTAATGTTGTCCTTGTAGGACGGGCTGGGGATAAAGTTAATCATGGGGTGCACTCATTTAAGGAGACCTCCTCCCTCCATTTGTAGGGTCCATTTTCTTTTCCATTCCCCTATATACCCCTATACGCGCCCATGACCCTTTAATGCTATAGATAGTAGTGTCCACTGGCTTTCACGTTCCCATGTGTTCAAATCTGCCCCCTTGAAGCCCTAAACCCTAAACAGTTCAAGCTGCTGCCCTAGCTGCAGACGGGTAGTGTAACGTTGCTGGCCTTCTGAATGATGGAAGAGGCTCATGGGTCACATTCAGCGCAATGCGGATGTCGTGAATGCTGATGCACCTTAATCATGATGATGCTGAGCTCTTAGCCCTAACAATTCGGCCAAAGATGGGCTTCTTTTTGCTGGGGTGCGCATGCAACTTCTGTATAAATAGTCACAGCAAGAGAATGATGAGCCTGACGGACAGCAGTCACAATAGTGGACGTGGGATTTGCAATCAGTGGTGGCTGACTCGAAGTGAAGCCGGGCTGTACCCTAGTCCCTGAACTGCCAGCTCTTTAAGCACTTCAATAACTCAAACCCTCAACTCTATATCCTAGTGCGGAAAAAGTATTCGGAACTAAGGTCACCCCCCACGCTCTATGACCTGCGCGCTCTCACGTCGGGCATTTCCATGGCGGCACCGGTGAAGGCTGAGCTTTCGCGCAGCTATGCGCCTGCCAAGGCGGGATTGTCCGCGCCAGGAACATCGGACTTTGCAAAAGAGGTGCCCATCATATACCCCCAAGCCCCCAAGGTCCTAAACCTTCATGGTAATAATGCTGAATACAGGGATGCCAATTTGTTGGAAAGCCCATTGGTTCAGGCGTTGTGATTATGAGGGATTATTTTGCACTTTGTCTTGCTTGGGACACTGCTGCTTTGCATGCGTGATTTATGGCCGCGATATCGCTCTTGAAAATGAGCTCTAGCTGGGTTGAAGGTAGCAAACGTATAGGGTTTATCCTGCATGGATTTTAAGCGGTGTGGGTCCGTTTCTGGATGGCTTCAGATGTTTGTGAGCGTCTCTGATATCCAGATCTAGTACAGGGTCAGGGGATGCTGACGCCAAGTTGTTCATCAACCCCTTTGGACTCCAAATTGCGACAACCCGGCAATTCATCCTCCAAAAGCTGACTTCCTGGGTCCCCATCCCATGTGGATTCCCTAAACATCAAAACCACGGCTGCCTCGAACAGGCCGCGAATTCACCAGGCCGCAATCGGCGCCTTACAGGGGCGGAGGCTCTTGAGCAGGAACTGTATGGAGTCTAGGATTTAGAGGTGGAGGGTCTATTTCGCCTCCTCCAAGCGGGGCATATACATGTATACCTAGGGGTTCTCCATTATTAGCGGGCCTTTCATGACATTCAGATGAAGTGTTTTAGAGCTTGCGATGTAGTTCACTTGTGGCTTTCGACTTCCACGCTTTGATTAAATAATCCTGAGCCAACAGTCCGCTCAAGAGTTGTTACTAAAATTATTCAAGTCAACATCGTTGCTATCCTTGACGTGGTCACTGTTTTACTTCCTGTTAGTAGTACAAGCTTGGTATTATTACTATTACTATTATACTTACTAGATTACTATTACAAGAAACTTTCAGAATCATTGCAAGAAACATTCTAAACCCTAAACCCTAAACCCTACAAACCTAAGCCTAAAACCCTAAAACCCTGAACCCTAAAACCCTGAACCCTAAACCCTAAAACCCTAAGCCCTAAACCCTAAACCCTAAACCAAGCTTTGTGTTACTAGGTGCTCTCTGCTTTGCCCACGCCAGCACGTCGGGCACCGGGAGCCCCGAGAGCTGAGGCCTGAAAAGCAACATCTTCGGTTGATGTAAGGAACAGGTGATCTGGGGATATGGGGGTATAGGGTTTAGGGTTTAGGGTTGATGTAAGGAACGGTGATCTGGGGATATGGGGGTATAGGGTTTAGGGTTTAGGGTTTAGGGTTGATGTAAGGAACGGTGATCTGAGGATATGGGGGTATAGGGTTTAGGGTTAAGGGTTTAGGGTTTAGGGTTAAGGGTTTAGGGTTGATGTAAGGAACGGTGATCTGAGGATATGGGGGTATATAGGGTTTATAGGGTAGACAGGGGGGGGTTATATGCGAGTATACGGGGACATGGAGAATTACATGGAGCTGCCAGTTATGTTTTTCAAAAAAGGTTTGGGCTTGGGGTGGAGGCTTCCGGGCTGTCTGCTTGCATTCCCGACAAAAGTATGCAAGATTCTTAGAGCACCCACATACCAGGAAGCTTCTGCTTGCATAGACATCCAAAAAGTATGCTGAATGTTGAGACCCTGCACAGCCGTCTCGTGCAATGTCACTCCCTACGTGCCCTTGCTGAAATTCTAGGTCATCCCTTCGACCTCCTCCGATCCTGAGCAGGCAAGCACAGCCTGCTCTTCGACGAAGCAGCCGCTTCTTATTTGGCTATATGACAAACCTGTTGTCCTTAGTCTTGCCGGGCGTACTAGGGGTCTTGATCAGGAACAAGATACCATTTGTCAAGCTTTTTCGCCATTTGTTTGGAGCTGGTAGAATGACAAAAGTGCACAAAAGAAGTGGACAAGCCACGTATATACAAGTTAAGGAAACTCGGCATCAAAAGCATTTCTCTCAGCAGCTAGATCCTAAATCCACATACAGTAAGCTCTCTGAAGTCCTTTCCCTAAAGCCCAATCGAAGCCACAGCCCTCCTCAAATGCCTTTAGACGCGAATCCCCCTTTAGGGAAGAGCACATACCTAAACTTGCAGATATCAATCTTCTAGCCAGATCTTCGCGCAAGTAAAATCTTCTTTTGGGGTCAAACGCCATGGTTTGGTCCGAACCCTAGGGAAAGGCCCAGGTCACAACCTAGCAATATCATAGTCTCAGAAATTACCACTATGGATGGTGCAAGTGCGTCGCTTAGGCCAACCCTAGCCTGGACCGACTGTTGATTCCAAAAGTTCAGGTTATTTTGGGGCTATATTGGGAGTATATAGGGTTTATATATAGGGCTTGGTTTATAAAAGGGTTATATTTGGAAATGGAAAAGAAAATGGAAGCGACTGGCTACAGCATGACCTCGGTATGTTAGATGACCATAACTCCCAAGGTTGAGGGTACTTGGGGTCATGCAGGATTTTTTACCTTAGACTCCAAGCCCTGTATATCCCTGCATAACTCCACATCCCTTTTAAAAAGGGGCTGGTATCAACCACCCTAAGCCCTAAATCCCTAAGCCCGGAACCCCTAGACCTAAACCCTATACCTTATAGACTAAACTCTAAACTACCCTATACCCCAGACCCTATACCTTAAACCCTATATCTACGCCCTAAACCTTATACCCTAGACGGGTGGTTGTCAAAATTATGGCCCCTTTTTGGGTCCCTATTATAATACGGCCCCTAATATTTAGGGTACCCAAAAAGGGACCATAATTTTGACAACCAGCCATATAAACCCTAAACCCACATGCTTGAACCTTAGGCTTGGTCCGGGTCAGCACGGCCTGCCTGCACCGCGGCTTTCGCAGAAACCTGCCAAGGCCAGGGTTAAAGGGTCAGGGTTTAGGGGTTAGGGTTTAGAGCTTTAGGGTTTTAGGGTTTAGGGTTAAGGGCTTTAGGGTTTTAGGGTTTTTAGGCTTTAGGGTTTTAGGGTTTAGGGTTTTAGGGCTTTAGGGTTTAGGGTTTCTGATGTCCAATCTGAAGGACAAGCATGCTCTGCGGGTCAGCACCCAAGGGCTTATGGGTTTGGGAGCCTTAGTTGTCTTTACCTGTACATCGTGCAGAGGTGGGGTAATGCAAGAACCTAAACAAAGAGACATATGATTTTGAGGTCTATTCCCCTAAACCCTAAACCCTAAACCCTAAACCCTAATACCATAGCTATTGGGGGAACCTTGGGCTATTAATATTGGTAATTACGTTCTGCAATATTTGAGGGTTCATGGGCGTCAGGTAGTTGCCAAATGGGCTTAAGTTATAGGGGTTAAGGATGAGGAGGGTTTAGGCCCCAGAGAGCCCAATCTTACATGGTTACAGGCTTAGGGTATAGGGTTTAGGTCCACAGGACCAAGCGCTACAGGCTTGCATTGGAAAGCCTTGCCTCAAAACGGTTTGTTGCCAATGCAGGACTCTTCATCAATCACGCAGTCCCTCACCTGTATAGGATTGGTAGTAGCGTTTAGGTTTTAGGGTTGGGGTCCAAAAACCAAGGAATTGTTCTGGGTTGGTGTTGAGGAACTTAGCTTAAGTTACTATACTGGGGGAATCCTATTGATTACTATGTATACCCATTCTGGTAACTTAGGTTAAGTTCCTTTTAACAGCAACCCAGAAGAAAGACCTAAACCCTAAACTCTGAAAAGTAGCTTCCATTTTCCTTTCCAATCACCCAAAATACACCTATATAACCCCAAAATACCCAGTATCTCGTCAGAGGTCTACTTCGAGGTTAGACTTAAATTTACAGCGTCCCGACCTGTAGAGAGCCTGATTTGCGGAACATCCCCAACAATAATATTAGGGTTATGTGGGGGTTATGTAGGGATGGTGGAAAATAAAATGGGAGCTACTATTTAGGGTTTGGGATTTCAAACATCCCCAAATTTCGCCTCTTCACCAGGACCTGTGAGAAAGGATCCCAATGAGCTCGCCCTTTGTGTATGTAAGGGCGTGCTTTTCAACTAGCATAGCCCATGGTGAGGCTCATTCAGAAGGCCTTTCAACTTCAACACCCCCATACTGCCAGCTAGCGGTGAATGGCGAAAATGTTTGCTACGATCGCCCATAGCTTGTGTACTAGGGGCTTAAGCAAGAATGTAACACAGCGTGTTGACGGGATGTAGTTTTGGTAAGAGATGTGCCCTTCATAGTCGTAGCTCACTTGCCAGGAGGAGCCCCCGAAGCAGCCAAAGCAGCAGGAAGGGATTTGTCAATGGGCAGGTTGAGGGTTCCCTGAAGCTTGAAGATCTCTGTTGACAAAAATGATGGTATAGAGATGTAGGGTGGGCAATCGAGTCAGCATTAATTTTATGCTGAATGGACCTCCAGGTAGGGTTTACCCTCTTCCTAGATACAGTATCGCAAGACGGTACGAACGGGGCGGCGTGGGGCCTCCAAGCCAGGAGTTTTCCGAAGCAGTCGGGTGCAATGTGCTCCACTCATCACTTTGGCATGCCAATGGAGCATCCAATGCATGCCCTTCTAGTTTTCGTTGCTTTGATGAGAGTCCTTTCGCTTTCGGCATTTCCAGCGCTTAATTTGAGGCGATGGTCAGCAAGACTTGCTTTACCTGGAGGAACATAGAATCAAGGTTTTTTGCGGTTGTCCTCCAAGTCTAGAATCTCAGCGCACATCGGCTATCACGGGGCTGACGCAAAACTAGAGCAAGGTACAGTCTCTCAGGTTTGTACCGAAGATTGAAGACAATTCCCGATCACATATTGAGAGAACAGCTTGACGTCATTCGTGTTCCCTTACATGTTAAAAGCCAATGTTCTGCCACAAGATATCCCGTTCTGATGATCCAAGCTTTGCTTTAGCTGAGACTTGGAAGTACTGAAGATGTGCGCAGAGCCGGGGTTGCCATGAAGGTGCCTTCCATGGTGCAGGATAGGGGCAAAAGCCACATCAGATCTTTTTACGAGATCTTCTTCGTGGCTGTAGACGCATGGCATATTTGATGTTGTCGCTCATGCACGGAGACTTGAAGAAGCAGTGAAGAAGATCCCGGTCGGAGGGAAAGCATTATCCATTTCTCCTTAGTACAAATGTTCGAATGCAGCTTCCAATCTGACATCCGAACCGCGACAGCTTTTGTTACTCTTCGTACTACCAGCAGTGCTACACTGCATGTGCACGGCTGTATGTGACATCATCTTTTGGAGCACCCTCGGCGTAAGCAGCGGCAGGAGAATCACCGGCCGCCACGTCTCTCCGCCCCGGCTGAGCCCTTGGCCTTTTGGCCCATGGGTGCCGGCCCTCAAGGCCCAGGGGAGTTTCAGCGTGAAACGGGAGCCTCCTGAAAAAGAACTTAGGTCTTAAGATGTGCGAGGAATCCAGACATCCCAAGCCCTGTTCAGGAAGACTCTGCTTATGCTTTCGTTGGAGATATGCTAAAAACCTGTGTTCCGGATCACCACATCATCACCGGCACCACAGTCATCATGGACACACATTTTCCCGATCTCAATGCAGGAGCCGCTGCGGAGGAGCCTGCTGCTCCTGAGCCTGTTGAGCCCGAGCCCCTCCTGGAGTTGACCCATGTCCTGAACATGGTAGCCCCACGGCCACAGGTGCCTACCGCTGGAAGCAATGCATCTAAACTCCCAACTCCATCAGTTGCTGCTGACCTGTTGGTGCAGTCAGCCCTGCGCATGCAATGGCCCGCTGACAAGAGAAAACTTGCACCAAAGGACGCGGCAAGCACTTGCCGCGAAGCGGCAGGCGTCCTGCAAGAAGCCATCAACCAGCTGTCAGCAGCTGCGAATGTTCTTGACTGTGGCGGAAGTGGCGTCCGCGAAGTTATGAAAACTTACTGCGCTGAAACCAAGCGCCGGAAGACCTATGCGGGACCAAATGTTCCTGGTGCCATCTCGCCTCCTATTGGCGGTGGCAGCGCGGTAAATACCAGCCTTGTGCGGGCACCAACCGTGTACCGTGGAAGTCCACCCGTTGTGCGAACCACAGGACTAAGAGTTTGAACAAATTCACAGTGACAGTGCCAATTCGTGTAATTCATTAGTAGAATCTGCTCGCATGCTTCTTCGGAAGCTTTGGCAGATTGGCCTGTTCTTGCACTGCAGCCGCATTTGCCAATTGCAAATGCAACTGGAGATGCCTCGAATCCCCGTACGACCGCAAGTAGGAGCTCATTCTGTAACCTTTGGATAGCGTGATCCCTATAGTGAGGCATGTCCAACCAGAAAATAATTCATCGAGCAGCGGCTGGCCTTAAGCAACAGCCCCATAGGGCGGCCCTTGTTTTAATGATATCGCAAACACCCGTAGGTGTAGGGTACAAAGAGGAGTGCGCAATAGAAATCACTAAGACTTCAACAGCCATGCATGAAAACATCAAAACATGAGCAACATACGGAGAAGGCTATACAGAGTCAGGATCCCTAGGTCAGCCATCATGAGGCAGTTGCCACTTAGTTTGGATCTAGGTAGGGAAAAGCCCAAGTTACAACCAGGCAAGATTCTATGGTCCGATAATATTCCAGGGAACGCTAGCGTTTCGGAGTTTCCCTACCTGGGTTTGGATTGATCCCGTTGTCTGGACGTGCGTTCAGAGCATAACTGCGGAAACTCTTGCGCCGTGCAATCTTTCAGGTTGTCCTACTTAGTGGGGCGCTGGGGTTACCAATTCGTTCGAGAACCTTCGAGAAATAAAGGGTTACAGTAGGATTAGGATGGGTTGTTCACCAGTATGTAATGTAACTCTGTATGCAATGTAACTCTAGGGCCCCTCAAAGCATGATAAGGCAGATCCCTAGGAGACCCCTGATAGGGCAGACTCTCTCCGTTCGCTTTTACTTTTCTTTCCCAGGAGTCCTTCTTAGGGGTCTGCCTTATTCGGGGTACCCTTGGAATCTGCCCAGCCCTCTTCTGGACTGGAAGGGGTTCAAATTGTAAAAGTGACTCGCGGTTTAAGGGTTTAGGGTCCAATGTTTGCGGGTCCAGTCTGGTGCAGGGCCACTTGACTGAGTTCGCTTGGCCGGGACCTTAGTTGAAGGTTTGGCGCCCCAGCTACCCACATCTGCTCTTCGGGGAGCTGCACAGTAAAGCCTCAAGGATTGCCAATGACATGTTCATAGATTCCATGTATCATTCTAGTATAGGGTCAGAAGGTACCTCTAATGGATCTCAAAATGATACTGCTGATTATGCATGCCTCTACATTACAATCCCTTTACATCATCCCTAAATGAGCTATAGTCTAAACTCACTAAGGGGGTTATATAGGGGATTATATAGAGGAGTATCATAGCGGTTATGAAGGGGGATACTAGAAGTTCAGACTACAGCTCAAAATAACCCCAGTTTCATTGGCTCCTGCCTTACCCTTCATTCCTGTTGTTGGACAGGGCCTGGTCGTTTCTTAGGGAGTGATCCACATTTAGGGCCATTAATGGGGACTTCGGATTATTAAAGGGGGTCGTATTAGAGCTAAATCAGGCCTGAACGGAATAATAAAAAGGGGGTCGTATTAGAGCTAAATCCGAGCTGAACGGATTAATAACAACATAGGAACGGAATAGTGCATGCTGGCCCAGGCAGAAAAAAAAAAAAGACAAAAAGAGAACAGCCTCTACGTTCACGGTTTAGAGTT